AGAGAGAGCGAGAGAGAAGCAAAGGGTTTGTATTGAATGGTTCTGTACTGCAGAAAAGGAAGGGGATTCTAGGCCAGGAGTTCCTAAGAAGCTTGGGTAATATAGAGGAGGAAACACTGGGATCAGGATCAGGAGGAGGAGGAGGAGGAGGAGGAGGTGTCACGTCTGTCTAATGCCAGATATTTCAGGATGTTTATGTTTTTTCATTGGTCGCCCACACAGTCAACTGCATCCATTTGTTCTTTAAACCCTAAACTTTAAACTTTAAAATCAGCTTGATTTCACTAACCCCCACACTGGAGAACAGCAGTTTGAATAAACACTGAGCCAGCAGTCCACACAGGGTTCTGTAGCTCCTCATTCAGAAACGTCAGGGTGAAGAAAACACGTTTACTTTGCTGTAATAAGTGAAGCCACAAAAGTTTTCCTATAGTTTCATTCATCTTTTATTCAAAAGTACTATCCCCTGAACCACACCTCCCAATATTGAAGCCATGTGAGTACAGAGCATTTTTAGACCATTTATATCACTGGAATTAGTAATCAGCAGTTCATTTAAAAAAATGTTTTATATCAGAACAGCAGCAGTCATTGACAAACGAATAAAGAGTCTCCTGGTGAAAAGGTAAATGACCTGCATGGAGGAGGAGTGTTTACCTGAACACTTTATATCAGCCGGTCGTCTAATTTGGCTTCAGGTTGAATCACATTTGTCATTCATCCTCTCTCTCACAAAGGCTGAAACAAATCAGCGAGGACTCCTAACGTTTCCTTAAGAAAATATGCAGATCAGCGACGGTGAGTATAACCGAAGGATTAAAGAAATGGAAAGCAGTCCGTCCCGTTTGTTCTGACGGTGCGTCCAAGTGTGGGTTTATTCATAGGTCCGGCCTGTTTGTTTAAAGGGCAGCTTGGGTTACGTTCATTAAACCACAGGCTGCTGTTTCACTTCAAGGGTGTAATGCCTATGTCATCAGATCGCGTGATAAGAACTAATTTGTTCTTAACTAACAGTATCCTGTTTGAATAACATTCTCGTGCACTGGCGGGTGCCCGCTCCTCTGGTTGATTTGCCTCTAACTGATAAGCCAGCGAACCTAGCGCAGCCGACGGAGAGATCAAAACATCAAAAAGCCGCTTCCCCGCCACAGTCTGAAATAACTTCTGGTAGGCTTTCATCAGAACGTGCACCTCTGGACAACAATACATCCTGAATGACAGTCCAGCGCTGCTGCCTGGGCTTAATTACAGTTAATTGTCCATCAGTTCCATTTGTGGTTTTGCTGCATGTAGCAGCATCAAAACAGATCTTAAAGATGGCCCTGTACTTACTGGCCATATCAGAGGAAATAGGCCATAATGTTCCTGCTGCGGTCGCCCACCAGTGTTGCAGAAATACTGAAGGACAGGAGACACTGGCTGTGGTGGACTGGCTGTCTCCTTGACTGATCTGTCTGACTGACTGCTAGCACAGCTGGCTCTGTGCTTGTGAGGTATGAGGTTGCAAAAATGGGGATTACTTCACTGAACGGGTTGGAAGGGGCTGTATGGGAGCAGGCAAACGTCCACACACACACACACACACACACACACACACCGGTCTCATCACACATATGCCAGCTCCCTGGAGATTAGCCGTAAATCACATCTGAACAGCATATGTAACAAAATGTCACAGGGCAATTTTTTTTTTTGGACAATTTTTCCACACATATCTAACTGCACTGACAACTTCATCTCACATGAAGACACATGTTGCTGTGTAGAAACCTGCCACTGTCTGGACACAGGCGTCATCTGGCTACAAATCCAAGGCCTTGGAATTAATATGTGACATGACATATGTGCTTTGTACCAAAAAAGAATCTTGTTCATATATATATATATATATACATATATATTCACATCATATATTCTTTAAAAATTAACATCAAATCTATGCGTTGTTTAACTTTTCTTACCAGGGAACCCTGTGGCCTACAGGAGTTAGTTTAGTCACCACCTCTCATAGACTCCTGCCTTTGGCTTCTGTAAGTAGCCCAGATTGGTAGTTGACAGTAATGTACATGTACAAGCCAACATGATTGTCTGGCGATAGATGAAAGGGCCCGTCTGCCTTGAACTTTGAGTGGCTTCCATCTTTTTATCATCTTGCGCTTGGTTTGCCCCTCAAGGCTACTCAGAGATGAGGAAGATGGCAGAGGAAACAAAGAGCCCCGCACCTCCGCCGTCTCGTCTTGCCTTTGTAGCGCTCTCCCATCACTGTTAGTCACACGTGATTATGCCCCGTCTTCCACTGACCAAGTGTTGCTATTTGCCTGTAATAGTTTGACAATCAGTGTCAATCTGTGCTGGGCTCCGAATGTTGTTCACGCTGCCTACACTTTGACGGTGATTTTTACATGTTGTTAGCATACATGTTGCCATGTCCTCAGTTGGTCCTGTTTATACCTCAGTGTGGAGACGCTGCCAACATCCGCGCTGTTCGTGATCATTTACATGTTCCATATAAATGGATATATATCTAGTGTCGTTTCCCTACCGTTTGTGCTGAGAGGGTTGTTCTCAATTGTTGTCATGATCATGGGATTATGATTGACAGAAAAGACAAGCGGGGGAGGAGGGGAGTCAGGGCACCAGGACATGGACATGGACCTCCTCCAGGGCCTCTGCCATATCTTTAATCTATGGAAATGTATGGAGCGGATGAAGCGTAATTGTGAGACGGTCTCTGACCATTTCAGTCTCTCCAGTTGACACGTGAAGGGCCAGAGAGTAATCACAATGAGCACACTTTGCTGAATAGGGAGGGAATCAATTAATCCTGGAGAAAAACAAATGAAGCCTCCACTCAGGCCAGCGCTTCATCACACAATGGCATATATAAATGTTTGATCTTCCCTGAACCAGGTTAACAAACGTTTAGAGCATCTTCATTTACAGGAGGGCCAGCTCTCCAGGCTGTGTCCTCCTCCACCGAGGAGCCCGTCGTCCTAGCTTTCACCTCCCCGTCTTCCCCTTCCTCACGTTCTTCGCCGCCTCTCCATCTCCGAGCAGCGTCGCTCCGGTTTTCCTCCGCTCCAAACTCCCGCTGTCTCAGTCTGAACTCTCTCTCTCCTTCTCCAGTTGTTCGCTACAAAAATTCTAAATATTCAATGTGAGGACCAACTTGCACGGCTCCAACATCTTAATCCCCTCTGACACAGATGTATCTCTTGTTGACAGAGGGTGGGAGGGGTACACCATGAAAAACAGGATTCAGCTGACACAGTTGAAAATGTCACAGTGATTTATGGGCCTGTGTGTAAATCACGTGTTAGGGTGCACTGTATTCTTGAAACAACTTACTTTTCCTATTCAAAACGGAGCACTGATCCCGTTGGATCTTATGAAGGGCAATAAATTTGCCTGGGCAAAAGTATGGGGTTTGTTATTCCAG